TGGATGGATGGATGGATGGATGGATGGATGGATGGATGGATGGGTAGATGGATGGATGGGGGAATGAATGAATGGTTGGGACAGATGTCTGCTATTTAGCCAACCATCTTCCAAAGACAACATCTTGTCTTGCTGAAACCTTTCCTGTGAGAGAAAGACAATGGAAAGAATCATTCCCTTGGTCTTCATTTGGCTTCACCCAGAGCAACTTGATGGTGTTGAAATGAAAGGTACCCCGGGAAGTTGCTACCGTGACTAGAATCAATCATACTCCTCAGCCTAAGGATAGGAAGGATCCAGTGGCTCAGGGTAGAAGTTCTGAAACCTGCAGGCTAAAGACAAGTACAGTGTGAGGGAGGGAGGGAGGAAGAGAACTTTAGAAAGCAGCATTCCAGACCCAGGAATGAATGGGGGGGGATGGGAGGTCTTAAATGCTAGTAATAACTGCCCTGGACTTGTCACAATATGCCAAGACTGGAAAAGGCCTAACACTCATTGTCCCTTTTACATTTCAAAACATGTCTGAGTTCAGTTTCAGCATGGCCACATGCAAAAGGTAGAAGATTTAAGAGGAAAAAAAAAAAACCTTTACAAAACTAAAATAATTAGAAAAGGCTAAAATTTAACTAGGTTGATATTATTGATTTGCACATTGAATCGAAAGGCAGTATTTGTGCTATGTTCAGAACAAAGAAGAAGAAGGAAGGGATAAGCCCAATGTCAGGAAACATTATTCAAGATTAACAGATGTCTGAGACCAGCTGAAGTTGGCTTTTTTGCTTCTGTCTTACTCAGCAGAAATGGTCTTCAAACAGTCGAGAATGGTTAAAACTAATTTAAACAAACAACACACACACACACACACACACACACCATCCATCCTGGACATGCAGGCGCATGCCAACCATACCAGCTCTTCTGTAGGCTGAGACAGGAGGATCAAAAACGAGTTCAAAGCCAGCATGGGCTACAGAGTGAGTCACAGGCTAGCCTGGGCTGTTTAGTGAAACCCTGTCTCAAAATAAAAAGTAGAGCCGGGCGGTGGTGGCGCACGCCTTTAATCCCAGCACTCGGGAGGCAGAGCCAGGCGGATCTCTGTGAGTTCGAGGCCAGCCTGGG